TTTTAGATTTGTATTCATGTAAAAAATATTAACAACAAAATGATTTTGCATTATTTTATGTGCATATTTCATTAGATTAATATATAATTCTTAGATTTCATTAATCATCCAAAACATATATAACAAATCTTACATAGTTACACAACATAGATCTACGTTTTAATCTAACATCACAAGTCTTCTAGGTCATCTTGAATAAGTCTTTTATCGTTTCTTTCTTGAACATGTTTCATTGGGTAAGCTTCCAGTTATCTAGTCCGCCTCCATCGCCTCTATGAATGCTAAAACAGAGTAGCAACCAAAAGCACTATCACTGCATAGTTGATGATAAACGTCCAAACACACAAAGTAGTATGAAAGTGCCTTCCCTTTATGTTCCCAAAAGGAGGATATTGATAAAACATATAAGATTATGAGGAGAAGAGAAGTTGAAGAGCTGAGCCTAGATACAACCGAGATGGTGGTGACAAGCACACACCAAGAGATTGAGGCGCAGTGGGGACTGTATGATGGAGACCGTAATGCTTGTCGAGTACCTAGACACACAAAACAATTAAATACCAAGCAAAACCCTAAAGTTAATAGACGACAAAGGAGGAACAGAGGAAGGAGCTTTGAAACCTGAGTTTGAAGATCTTTCTCAAGCTTCTCATGGAGGTCTCGATTTGGTTCTGCAGAGATTTGCAGAGTTAACTTAACATCAATAGAATCCTGAAGCATGCTTTTGTAGTGAGTTCATTTGAAGCAAGATTTGTAATATCCAACTCCTCAGCTAAGAGAAGCACTGGATGCACAGTCTTCTCACAAGCACTGGATACACAATCCCACATTCTTCTTATTCAAGTACAACTCTTGCTTACACTCTCAACTTATCCACATAACAATCTGTTCATAGCCATAACCCGTATCCAAAGTATAAAAACAAACTACAAGATTCATATCACACAGGACACAACCTTTTACCAAACCAAGTCTAAGTAGAAATCTGCAAACTTTTTCCTCTGTGAGCTTTCTACATAGTTGCAATTGGTTCACATTGATTCGTAAACACTAAATCGATCAAATTTAAAGTGAATGACAAAGATTAGTGAAAAAAGAATCAAACCTTCTAGACATTCCCATAAAGCAATGAACCAAAACACCACCTCCAGATTGAATAGCTTGGTCGATGAAGCTAAAACACTCATCGAAATACACACTCAAATCGGTCTCGGATCTATCAACAACTACCTCAAAACCACAAACATACAGTCAAAGGTTCACAATTTACTCT